CCCCAAAACCCCAAAACCCCAAAACCCCAAAACCCCAAAACCCCAAATTGCCATTAGAAAATTGAATTTTAAACTATTTATTCATAAGCTTGTTGAGAAAATTGGTTCTTATATCCTTCGTAGTTATGATACTCTTCTTCAGATATAGTTTCTTGTCGCCCATAAGGATGGTCTTCTTCCTCATCCTCTTCCTCCTCAGTCTCAGGAACATAGTCTCTGGGATCCTGGACTAGAGAGTGAGGTGACATGTTTCTCATACTATAGTCTCTAAAGAGTTTAACATGGAAATTACAAGTTTGATCCTGGAGGATTTACGAAAGAAAGAACCTTCTCCTGACTCTGAGTCAGGTTAGTCAACCTTTCCACTTGGTTCTTGTACAGGTCCACTTCGAACATGGATTTATTAATCTCCTCCCGGTACTTCTCCATCTCTTGAGCAGCTGCATGGAGCTTGGACTGATAGTGAAGATTTTCTTTATTCAGCATCTCATTCTCACGATCTAGAAGAATTAGGTAAACATACGAAGTTTCTTTGACGACTTTGGTACTGGCTGAAGTGGTTGACGACGTGAATTTGGCCTTTCACATATTAAATTCAACTGTTTCTTCAAATTTTCTGAAATTTCTTGCAAGGACTTGAGATCTTGCCTTGAAGATTTGATGAGTTTATTTTAAATCAGAATTTTTAGCCTACACATCATCAGTCATCCTATCCCACATCTCGAGTCAAGCAATACTTACCTTTTCCTTCTCTAATTTCCTCTCAAGATCTTGTATGGCTTTCTCTGCATTATTTATATTTCTCTACATACAAATTCCTCTCCATTAGAAGTTCATTATTAATATGTTCATATTTCTGATTTTGGGTCCTCAAGTAATAAATCTCGTCATTATACCTCATCTCGTCTCTCTCCTGGGAAGTACTGAAGAAGGAATGGTCTATAGCCTCAGATGGGGATTTACCCTTATATTTTTCAGAATGTCTCATCACAGTTAACTTTTAAATTTTTAAATATAAATTTTTGGGGTTTTGGGGTTTTGGGGTTTTGGGGTTTTGGGGTTTTGGGGTTTTGGGG